CTGTTCCAGGCCATGTCGGGGCCCACCTGGCTCCCCCCAAAGCAGCTGGAGCCTGCCAGAGCCCCTCTGGGAAGAGCACTCTCCCGAGGTGCCCCGGGGCCGCCGCCAGCCCACGGAGCAGGTAAAGCAGCTCCAGCGCCGCTGAGGCCGCCACTGGCCGTTCCTCGCTCACCTCTGCCTTCTGCCTCCTGCCTGTCCCCGCCACCCCTTCCCTGAAGCTCTTCCGGCTTCCTGCCGTTCCTGCTCCTCCCGCTCCCTTCTTGGACCCCAGGTGTGGGGGGGAGGGGAGATGAGGGACCCTAGAGCGCGGCCTCCAGAAGTGTCACCCTCCTCTCTTTCCCCATCCCCACCTTGGCTCTCTCTTCCCTCACCCCAGCACTTCAGCCCCACCCCAGGGTCAATTTTTGCCCCCTCCCATCTGAGCAGTGTTACCAGGCCCCAGGGGGACCGGATGATCGGGGGCTAGCCTGGGTGGGGTGCCATGGAGCACCCCAGCGCTCACAGGTGAGAAACCGGAATTGGGGGGTGGGGGGCGGGAGGTGTGGGCACCCGGGACAGGTGATTTGAATTCTCCCGGCTTTTGCTTCATCCCCAGGGGCTCCCCCAAGACAGGGGGGCCTTGCGCCCAGGAAGTCTGGATGCTGAAATAGATTCGCTGACCAGCATGCTGGCTGAACTGGATGGAGGTCGTGGTCATGCCCCACGGCGGTCAGACCGGCAGGTGACCCACTGGCCTGCCCTGTCCCTCCCTGCTCCTTGTCTCCTGCCCTCCTCCCCACTCCCTAGTTTGATCCCTTCTCTAGATTCTCAGTCTAGCCCAGCCCTCTCTGTGTGAGTGATACACACAGGAGCGTGGAAGAAGCTGGCCCACCAGAGCCTACCAGGTTGTCTACCTCTTGAGGATGAGCCCTTGTCAAAGACCAGTGGTTATCTTGGGGCCACACAAACGGGGGCTTCCACAGGTGTGCGTCCTGGAATGGGTCTGCTCACTCCCGGTCTGTGTTTCTCCCCAGGCTTATGAGCCCCCTCAGCCCCATGCCTACCGCACGGGCTCAGGTTCCCTGAAGCCGAATGGAGGGGGTGTTCCGATTCCTCCCCAACAGCTCTCTGCGTCCTCCTATGGGGGTCCCACTCCGGCCTCCTATGCTACAGCCAGCACCCCCGCCGGTCCTGCCTTCCCCGTGCAAGTGAAGGTGGCACAACCAGTGAGAGGCTGTGGCCCCCCAAGGCGGGGGGCCTCTCAGGCCTCCGGGGCCCTCCCGGGCCCCCACTTTCCTCTCCCAGGCCGAGGTGAAGTGTGGGGGGCTGGCTATAGGAGCCACCGTGAGCCAGGTCCAGGGGGTAAAGAGGAGGCCGGAGGAGGAGGACGAGGTGGCAGGTACGGACCCCAGGTAAGTCCCGGGTAACTGGGATTTGGGGTCCTCACAGACAACTGTATACTGATTGGGTGGGCGGGGGTGGTGTCTAATGCCCTTGTTGTCAGAGGCCTGTCGGGTTGGTGCTCTGCATGAGCACGCTGTGCCGGTCAAAAAATATAAGCGGGCAGGGCTAGCGCTGTTCACTGGCTCCTGGAGGGGTGCCCCTGGGCCCGGCACTGAGACCTTCTCAGATGAGACTTCTGGGTGGAATTGCCTGGTCACCTTCAGGAAGTTTGACAGCACAGAGAGCTAGAGGTAGGGCTGAACCCCTGATTCCCTCCTCTCAGGTCCCCCTGAGCCAGCCTCCTGAAGAGGAGCTTGAGAGGCTGACCAAGAAGCTGGTGCACGACATGAACCACCCTCCCACAGGGGAGTACTTTGGTGAGCTGACCCGAGGTGGGAAGGGGGCTGGAGTCAGAGGGCCAGAGAATCTACCTTTCTCTTCTGTACTGACTCACCTTGTCCTTCCTTGTCCCCAGGGCGGTGTGGCGGCTGTGGAGAAGATGTGGTTGGGGATGGGGCTGGGGTTGTGGCCCTGGACCGTGTCTTTCACGTCGGCTGCTTTGTGTGTTCTACGTGCCGGGCCCAGCTTCGGGGCCAGCATTTCTATGCTGTGGAGAGGAGGGCGTACTGTGAGAGCTGCTACGTGGTGAGTAGGTGGGCTGGGGGTGTCAACAGCAGGAGGCAGGAGGCTTCCATCTAAGGTGGGGACCATATGCCCGAGCCCCATAAAAGGTACACAGCTCAAAGGGGGGGCGCTAAACTGACACATAAGAAGGGAGGAATTATAAAAGTCGCTAAATACTGGCTGCTGGAGGGAAAGGACAATGGTCCCTTACAAATGCCAGACATTTATTTTAGAGTTAAGGGAATGTGTTAAATTCCCACACCGCCACCCCTGTGGAGCACCTATGACTACCGAAGGAAACTGAAGCTGAGACTAAGTCACTTATCTGGGAGGCTGCTGTGCTAGGACTTCTACGCAGATCTGTTCAAGGCCACTTTTCAATGAATCCCTTGCAGGGGGCTACATAAACAGATGGGTGGGCCAGCGGGCCTCCCCAGCCCCAAACTTCCTACCCTCCTTCCTGTTAGGCCACCCTGGAGAAGTGCTCCACATGCTCCCAACCCATCCTGGACCGGATCCTACGGGCGATGGGGAAGGCCTACCACCCTAGCTGCTTTACCTGTGTGGTGTGCCACCGTGGCCTCGATGGCATCCCTTTCACGGTGGATGCCACCAGCCAGATCCACTGCATTGAGGACTTCCACAGGTCAGGCTGGGTCTCCCACCTTTGTCTCAGATGTCTGACCTTCCCCATCTTCCCCATTTGTCCTTCATGCCCCAGCACTGGTCTCCCACCCCTGGCCTGGTCTCTTTCTTGTTAACATCACCCTCTTTTCTAAGATCTAAGACCATACCCCTGGTCTCTCCCGTTCCCTCGTGTATCCTACCTTCTCTGGGCTCCATGGTTAGTCCCCTCCAACCCTGGGGCTTGACAGCCTCCTTGGTTCCCTCCTGACCCAGGAAGTTTGCCCCACGATGCTCAGTATGTGGTGGGGCCATCATGCCTGAGCCAGGTCAGGAGGAGACCGTACGAATCGTTGCTCTGGATCGCAGTTTTCACGTTGGCTGTTATAAGTGCGAGGTCAGGGGGCCTGGGCAAGGGGAAGCGGGGGTTCTTGGAGTCTGGGGTGCTGGATATGGTAGAACCCAGGGATCCAGGCCTGATAGAAAGCTGTTGCTTCTGTCTCAACAGGAGTGTGGGCTGCTGCTCTCTTCCGAGGGTGAGTGTCAGGGCTGTTACCCGCTGGATGGGCACATCTTGTGCAAGGCTTGCAGTGCCTGGCGCATCCAGGAGCTCTCAGCCACCGTCACCACTGACTGCTGAGTCTCCCCAGTAGCACCTGCTGCATTCTCCCACCCTCCCTGACATCTACCCTTACAACTTTGTCACCAAATGCTGTCTCCTCTTCCTCCAATCATGAAATAATAATCCCTCAAGAGTTTACAAAACCCACTGAAGCGTGTCGTCTCATCTGATTCTCACAGCAGCCTAACACACGCACAACTGTTGCACCTCCCTGCGTTTTTATAGAAGTGATCTCAGATGACATGATTCCCAAATGGCAGTACCAAGGTCAGAGCCTGGGTCTTCTTGGTCCTAGTCCTGGTTTTTGGCAACTACACTGTACACCCTCTCCCCGTGCTGGGAGTGAGCTGCGGCATGCTCCAGGGAGGCAGCATCTCCTACTCTTAAGCCTCACACTCCACTCCCTGAACAAGGACTTGGGTGTTATCTCCCGGGTGGTGATGCATTTAATCTGGGGCAAGCCAGACTCCCCCTGTTGATCAAGACTTCAACCTATAGCCTATCCCAACCAAGCATTGGTTGGGGATAAGACAGATTTGCCGGTTTCTCTTACAAGACGGGCGCCTCTGTTGAGATACAGCAGTCACAGGGCTTTGCATATGGTGCATACTGAGGCAGCAAAAAGCCTGGTTCTCTGCTGCAGCACAAAATGGTGGGAGATGCTTTAAAATGGTTGCTCCACCCCGCTAAACGCCTGCATTCCCCAAGTCCCTGCCCTGCGCCAGGAGGAGAAAACCGCCCCGATGAGGTCAGGAGGCGCCCAAGCAGGGTGGCTGGGGGGACAACAACTGGACACGAACTCGTTCAGACCCCGGACACATCCGGGTGACAAAGACCTTCGACCTCAACGGAAGGACGCGCTCCTTCACGCCCATAAGGCTCTACAACCCGGCCGAGGTTTCGCTTGGTCCACCTCGGCTCCCGTAATTTCTCTCGTCCGCGCGCAGTTCTCGTTCCAGAGAGCACGCGAGACTTCCGGTCCCCGCCCCTTCCCATCATCCCGCGGTGCTCCCAGCCTCTCGCTGTGTGCTTTAAGTTCCAGTTCAGGCCGCGGGGGACTACTTTGTGGTTGGGGCCCCGTCCCGACGGTGACGCAGGCGCAGCGCGAGCGGCGCGCGCCGACCGCCCATCCCCGGCTGTCCCACTTTTCCTCTCGTCTCCTCGGCCTCCTCGCTGAGAGCCTCGCGTCTCCCTCTCACCGTCCGCGCCGCCCTCGTCGCGCGCCCGAGGCGAGAGGCGGGCCCAGGTCTCCCGGAAAACTAGCCCGCGGGAGCGCGAGACTAACGGCCGCGAAGCTCCCAGGTGGGGGAGGGGCGGGGCCTGGAGAGTCGGGGCTGCGGCGGGCGGGAGGGAGGGGGTTCGGGCGGGCGTGGGCAGGGAGTTCCTGGGGGCGAGTGTCGGAGCCGTCCACCTGCGCGGGAAGAGGGCTTGGGATGGCGGGGACAGTGGAAGGCTGGCCTTTGCGGAGGGAGGCGGGCGTGCTGCCCCGGAGCAGCTCTGGGTCCTTTCCTGCCCTGGTCATTGTTCCGCACCCTGACCACCTCCGTCCCGGCTCCAGGCCCCCTCACACCGCACCATGGGGGACAGTGACGACGAGTACGACCGAAGGCGCAGGGACAAGTTTAGAAGAGAGCGCAGCGACTATGACCGTTCTCGCGAAAGAGATGAGAGACGTCGAGGAGACGATTGGAATGACCGGTAAGACTTCCTTTTCTTAGTTTTCTCACCCTATCTCATTCTTTTGCACTCCTCCCTCGTTGCATTGCCTTGATTCGTTATATAGGGCGAACCACATGAAGTCGCTTATGCTTGACCGTTTCCGGTCGGTCAGCCTATTCGCTGTTTGCCAAAGAGCTAGCTAGCTACGGCTCGATTTTGAAACGTATATGAGGTCAAAGCAGTAGACCTAAGAGTTGGAGTATGAAGAAGTAATGTTTTTAAAATGCATGCATTTTCTTGTTTGTAAATTACTCCTCAAAGGTGTGGATTCAAAGGAAGTGACGCTTTCTAATTGACTTGACTCGGAGAGGTTGTCAGATCAGACCTGTTCCCTGGCAAAATATGGTTAAATATCTTGTAGTTGTCTTCCCTAAAATCAGAGTTCTTTGGACAGTGATGGTTAGGTTAGTTGGTTAGGTTTGACTTAGCTAGTCATTAGTTTTCTGGGATGTTCTGGAGTTAATTATCATTAAGGTGTTTCCACAGAGAGAGGTGATTTCATTTTATTTATTTATTTATTTATTTATTTATTTATTTATTTATTTATTTATTTATAATATATGAAATTTATTGTCAAATTGGTTTCCATACAACACCCAGTGCTCATCCCAAAAGGTGCCCTCCTCAATACCCATCACCCACCCTCCCCTCCCTCCCACCCCCCATCAACCCTCAGTTTGTTCTCAGTTTTTAAGAGTCTCTTATGCTTTGGCTCTCCCACTCTAACCTCTTTTTTTTTCTTCCCCTCCCCCATGGGTTTCTGTTAAGTTTCTCAGGATCCACATAAGAGTGAAACCATATGGTATCTGTCTTTCTCTGTATGGCTCATTTCACTTAGCATCACACTCTCCAGTTCCATCCACGTTGCTACAAAAGGCCATATTTCATTTTTTCTCATTGCCACGTAGCATTCCATTGTGTATATAAACCACAATTTCTTTATCCATTCATCAGTTGATGGACATTTAGGCTCTTTCCGTAATTTGGCTACTGTTGAGAGTGCTGCTATAAACATTGGGGTACAGGTGCCCCTATACATCAGTACTCCTGTATCCCTTGGGTAAATTCCTAGCAGTGCTATTGCTGGGTCATAGGGTAGGTCTATTTTTAATTTTCTGAGGAACCCCTCCACACTGTTTTCCAGAGCGGCTGCACCAGTTTGCATTCCCACCAACAGTGCAAGAGGGTTCCCGTTTCTCCACATCCTCTCCAGCATCTATAGTCTCCTGATTTGTTCATTTTGGCCACTCTGACTGGCGTGAGGTGATACCTGAGTGTGGTTTTGATTTGTATTTCCCTGATAAGGAGCGACGCTGAACATCTTTTCATGTGCCTGTTGGCCATCCGGATGTCTTCTTTAGAGAAGTGTCTATTCATGTTTTCTGCCCATTTCTTCACTGGGTTATTTGCTTTTCGGGTGTGGAGTTTGGTGAGCTCTTTATAGATTTTGGATACTAGCCCTTTGTCCGATATGTCATTTGCAAATATCTTTTCCCATTCCGTTGGTTGCCTTTTAGTTTTGTTGGTTGTTTCCTTTGCTGTGCAGAAGCTTTTTATCTTCATAAGGTCCCAGTAATTCACTTTTGCTTTTAATTCCCTTGCCTTTGGGGATGTGTCGAGTAAGAGATTGCTACGGCTGAGGTCAGAGAGGTCTTTTCCTGCTTTCTCCTCTAGGGTTTTGATGGTTTCCTGTCTCACATTCAGGTCCTTTATCCATTTTGAGTTTATTTTTGTGAATGGTGTGAGAAAGTGGTCTAGTTTCAACCTTCTGCATGTTGCTGTCCAGTTCTCCCAGCACCATTTGTTAAAGAGACTGTCTTTTTTCCATTGGATGTTCTTTCCTGCTTTGTCAAAGATGAGTTGGCCATACGTTTGTGGGTCTAGTTCTGGGGTTTCTATTCTATTCCATTGGTCTATGTGTCTGTTTTTGTGCCAGAGAGAGGTGATTTCAAACAAACTAATGAAGTTAAGGGCAACTGCGCAAAATTTTGTAAATACAAAGGACACCATGAACCTAATCAGCAATATCAGTGTTGATGACGCTTGATTTGGAAACATTACCAGAAAAAAAGAAAAAACAAAAGCTTGAGGTGACTTACTGTAATAGTATTTAGTCATTCAGTGTCATTTTGAAAAAACAGTTCGGGAAATCATTCACTTTGTATCTCTTCGCTGGGGGGACTGTGGCTCTTTGTTTTCCCTGGTTTCTCTAAGAAAGAAGAAAATCAAAATTGTTCTGAATTCTGAAGATAGGTAGGAAGTGTTTGTTGTAATTAAAGAGTTTATCGTCTGGAGCTTGGAGTGGGGCGCAAAATGGCCTTGGGTGTGCCCTGCAATTGAGTGTATACAAGAGATCATCCTAAAGATGGTTAAGTGTTGAAAGAACAGATCTTAGAACGGAGGGGAGAGTAGAGGTGGAGGTTATATGTCAGAGAGAGCTGCAGGAAAGTGGCCCTTAGCAAGACTTGGAAAGATGATTGAGAATTCCCCAGACACAGATTGAGTGAATAGTTTGGAGTTGGGGACATAACATTGTGTGCAGAAAAGAACCCGTAGTCTAGTTTTTTTAGGGTAGTGGTTCTTAAAATGTGGTCCACAGACCCTCGAGATCTGTGGTGTTATAACTATATTTTTCATAGTAACTTGAAGGAGTATGGTCATTTTCTCTGTTGGTTCATAGTATTGGGGGAAAAACCATTGGTGTCTTAGTGCAAATAAAGGCAGTGGCACCAAACAGTTAAAAAAAAAAACACACAAACAAAACAGGTTCACTTAATGTCCTTGATGAAGCAGTAAAAATTTTAAATTCTGTTAAGTTGAATTCTTGTCTATGTGTCTCCGTAACACACACGATGAATGAGAAATCTGCATGAAGCATTTATGCAGCGTATAGGAGTACAGTGGTTATCTCAAAGAAGAGCTGAGTTTGGAGTTGAACTAACAGGTGTGTGGTTGCTTTGGTGAGATGTCATTTTTACCTGAATGAAAGATTATTGGACAGTGGTTATTCCTGTTTGGGTATTTGAGAGACATTTTTTTGAAAAAAGATTAAGGATCTATGTTACTTCAAGGAAAATTGTTAGCTTTGTTGCCAGTGAGGAAGTGGAACTTGGCAGTGAAAATTGAAATTTTAGAAAACTTTTATCTACCAGTGTGAGTTTGACAGCCTCCCGTTACTTTAAGACTTTTCTGATGAGCTACGTGGTAATACTAACAAATATAATGTTTTGATATCATATAATTAAATATGCCAAGATCCATTCACAGAGCAAGATAGAACAATGGATTTAAATGTAGCAGAGTAGAAAATGTTCCTTGTGGGACACCTGGGTGACTCAGTAGTTAAATGTCCAAGTCTTTTTATTTTTTTTATTTTAACATTTGTTTTTGAGAGGGGGCGGGGGTAGAGAGTATGTGAGTGGAAGAGGGGCAGAGAGGGGGACAGAAGATCCAAAGTCAGCTCTGTGCCGACAGCAGAGAGCCTGATGTGGGGCTCGAGCTCACAAACCACTCAAGAGAGATCATGACCTTGAGCCTAAGTGGGCTACTTAACCGACTGGCTGTCCAAGTGCCTTAAACGTCCAACTCTTGTTTTCGGCTCAGGTCATGATCTCACAGTTTGTGATATTGAGCCCCTCCTCTGCCTCTGTGCTGACAGCATGGAGCCTGCTTGGGATTCTCTTTTCCCTTTCTCTCCCTCCCCTGCTCTTGCATGCACCTGCTCTCTTTCTCTCTCAAAATAAGTAAATAAACATTTTAAAAAAAGGTGAGGGGGGGCTGCCTAGGTGGCTCATTCACTTGAGCGTCCAACTTTGGCTCAGGTCATGATCTCATGATTCGTGAGTTTGAGTCCTGCGTCGGGCTCTGTGGTGACAGCTCAGAGCTTGGAGCCTGCTTTGGATTCTGTGCCTCCCTCTTTCTCTGCCTCTCCCCTGCTCATGCTCTGTCTCTCTTTGTGTCAAAAATAAATATAACCATTAAAAATAATAATAAATAAATAAAAGAAACTGTCTCTTGTCAAGTTTTGGGTAGTATCAAAGAATATCCCTAGTTTCTTGAGAAGACTATTAAAAGGATTCCCTTTTCCATCTGCCTATCTGTGAGGCTGGATTTTCTTCATATTTTCAACCAAACAATGCATTACAGTAGATTGAATGTAGAAGCAAATGTGAGAATCCAGCTGTCTGTATTAAGCCAAGCCTTGAAAAGATTTGTTAAATGTAAAAACAATGTCACTTTTCTCATTAAATGTTGTTTTGGAAAATAGCTGTATTTTCATAAAAAGATGTAATTTATGTTGATATGTAACTTCACAATTAATAGGTGTTAATTTTTTGTTTTAGTTTCTTTATTAATGTTTTTGGTTTTTTTTGAGAGAGAGCGAGTGCGAGCGAGCAGAGGAGGGGCAGAGGGAGAGGGAGGCACAGAACCCGAAGCAGGCTCCAGGCTCTGAGCTGTCAGCATAGAGCCCGAAGTGGGGCTCGAACCCACGAACCGTGAAATCATGACCTGAGCCAAAGTCGGACGCTCAACCGACTGAGCCACCCAGGTGTCCCTTTGTTTTAATTTTGAGTATAGTATTGATGCCATCCACATAAGGAAAAACTCTTCGATGTGCACAGTAGCGTTATTTATTTTTTAAATGTTTGTTTACTTTTGAGGGAGAGAGAGTGTGAGCGGGGAAGGGGCAAAGAGAAGGAGACAGAGAATTCCAGTGAGGCTGTGCTGTCAGCGCAGAGCCTGATGCAGGGCTCAGACTCAGGAACCGTGAGATCATGACCTGAGCCGAAACCAAGAGTTGGATGCTTAACTGACTGAGCCACCCAGGTGCCCCTGCACAGTAATTTTAAAGAGTGTAAGGTGGGGATGGGGGACTCAAGACCAAAAGTTGGAAAACTGCTGGGTTAGAACAAAGGATTTTCTTTTTAAGGTTGGGATGGAGATGGCGGGTGACTAGTGGAGAGGCTGGAATGACAGACAGCAGGAGCCAAGGTTATGAAGAGTGTTGTATACTGGCATTTAGCAGGGAAGGGCATGGCTTGATCACCTCTGTGTTTGAGACAGATCGCTTTGACAGTAGAGGAGTGGGAGGGACCAGAGGTAGATACACTGATGTTGTGGTTACAGGAGAGAGGAC